CAAAAAAAAAAAAAGAAAAACCTCCATCCTTGCTGGAGCACTTTCCTAAGTGACCTTGGGATCACAGGGAGTACAAATGCCCACTTAAGAGTTCTCAGTAGGAAGCAATGATTAATAACAGCTGGCACAGGCCCCATTTTTGATGGAAAAAAACTAGAACAGGAAAAATCTCTGCTACGTTTGTATATACCACAGCCAGTGAACAGAAGGCTAAGAAACGGCCTCTGCACGACGGGCTGTGCTTGGGGGAGTACTTGTAAAGTGAACTTTACCTACGACATCTTTACTCTTAATTAACAACATCTTTCCCAAGGAAAAGGAAGAGTGGCAGGGACGCTGGACTGGGTTCCCTCGGTTCTGCCAATGACAAGGCAGTGAGTGTGGCCAAGTCTGTGGGGTGTAGGAGTGGGACTGCGCACACTGATACCTCCAAAAACAAAGAACATCATATGTTGGCCGTGTCTAATACTGACTTCTTCATTTCACAGACGAGAGGAACCGAGGCTCAGAGAAGCTCAGTTACCTGCCATATGATCTTCAACACTTGTTCAAGACCGTCCAGCGCGTGAGTGACAGACCCAGAATCACCCCCGACTGGCAACTCCCAAACTCCAGCGATTCTGCTGCATATGCCCCTCAGGAGCTTTAGTCTCCTCATCTGTGCAATGAAGGACAGATGACGGGACCTCAAAGCTGCTTGCTGCTCCTGCCTAGTTGTTTGATTTTATTGATGGGGAAGAGGAGAGCAGGTGAGGGGTCCCTGGCTATGACAAAGCAGCTCAGCAGCTGTGAAGGGAACCAGCAGCCAATAGGAGGTACGAGCAGGCCTGGGAGGGCGGTCATGAGGCTGTGGCTGCAGCCTAGTGTTAAGAATTAGTATGAATCTCCTGAGAACTCAAAGTTCGCATTTTAAAATTCTGTTTTGCTTAACAGAGAAAAAAAAAAACACTTAAAAATAGCTTTTTTGAAAATGATGTGATGAAATTTCTAATACGAAAGAAAAAATCTGGCATTGTTCATTTAATTGAACTGCTATGAGAATAAGTTTATGAATTAAACTTAGAGTAACTTATGGAAGAGTTCTGAGGTTAGATTAAAAGGTCATTTATAGGGGCAGCCTGGTGGTGCACTGCTACAGTGCGCTGCTTGGGAAGCGCAGCGGCGCTCCCGCCGAGGGTTCGGATCCCACATACAGACTGGCCGCTCACTGGCTGAGCGAGGTGCGGGTGCAACACCGAGGGTTGCGATCCCATTGCCGGTCCCGGTCCGGTACGGGCGCAACACTGAGGGTTGCGATCCGTTGCCGGTCACAAAAAAAGACAAAAAAAAAAAAAAAAAAAGATTTTTAAAAAAAAAAAATTATTTTTTTTTTCCCCAAAAAAAAAAAAAAAAAAAAAAAAAAAAAAAGGTCATTTATAAACGAAATGCATTAGTTTTTTTCCCTAGAAAGACAAGTAAAAACAAACACAAAAAAAAAAAAAAAAAAAAGGTCATTTATAAAC